TCTCGTTCACAGATTGAGTGAACTCGTAATAGCTTCAACCCTAGCGCGTTATCACTATTCAAATTCCTGATAATGGTTACTTGTGAAATAATTGTTGAATAAATACACTAAGATTTCTCTCTGCTTTCCTTTGTTTTATCGTGAGGATTTTCAAATATGATGTTCTTTTATGACTATCAAATTGTATTGAGAATAATTAGTCTTTCTAAGAAATCATTTAAACCAAAGTGTTGATCTGATATTTTTGAGGGGATATTGAATAGTATTTCTATGAGTATGTATTTTTCCTATCTGAGAAACATCGTAGACGAACAGGGAGGATCCGATGAAGATGTACAGGTGAAGATTAGCAAGTCGAGGATAGCATTAGTACAACTGTAGAAAATCTGCAACTCAAAACAACTGTCTGTCAGCCAACATCAAAGCGAGAATCTTCACTACTGAGCTAAAACTTGAAGAGAACTACCATAACCATAATTAAAATCAAACATATATTTATAATTAATTGTCTACACATGGTACTCAATATCCGTTGATCGGATATAATTAGCAAAAGTAGTAGAGGAAAAATCGGCTTCTAGCTGAGGAGGAAATTAGGAAGAGATTTTCGAAGTGGATAAGACACACATTGAGGTGATGTGAAGAACTAAAGTGCTAATGAGAAATTGACACTAGATGTAGTTCAATTATTTCTAAAGTGAGAGACACTAATAACCAGTAAACGTTGATGATTTATATGTTTGCTTACGAATCAATCATCAATTAAGAATGGTCAATTCATCAGTTGTCATGATCCGTTCATTGTAATTGAGATTATGAATCAATATAATTGGTTATTGTCATTTCAAATTAGATTAATAATAATTATAGGATGATAATTTTTTTAAATTAAATCATTTAATTACTAACATCCGGTTAAGTAGTATCTGATTGGTAAATCTTAATGTGTGTGTATAACTAAATTCGAAAGATCTAGGTTTAAATGTAAAGTCAATACTTGAAATACTTATAACTTGTCATATGTAATGGTCTCGAAATTACTTACATACTTACATCTGTTACTGCTCATGAAGGAGCATACGCCAATCACCGGTATTCTCCATCCAACTATATCCTAAACAATCCCTTCCAGTTATTTCCATTTCCTAATTATCGTTTTCATGACTGTTTCCAATTCCCAATGCAGTATCCTCCAAGGCCTTCAACGTTTTCGTTGCATTTCTGCATTCCAAATACAGTTTGATGATTTCAGCTAAAGCTGTCACTGGACTACTCAGAATTATCACTATGGGGATTTATAGAGATCGTAGTATCTCCTACTAAAACCACGAGTCGATCAAAGCTAGACCATCAATGAAAGCCTGAAAGCATCGTATGGCCATTTTACCCGAGTATGCGCATTACAATTCCGCAGGCAAGATTCAAACTTAAAACCTTTGGTCCGGCGTATGAACACTCAACCTGTAGACCGTGAGCAGGCATCCAACTCAGTTTTATCAATAGTGCAAAAGTCAAACTAGAAACGGCAATCCAATACACTTCTTTTCTTTACTCAGAAATTTCGACAATTTCAGATTTCTTGTCATTAATTCTAGTCTGTGAATTGCTTTCCCTACCTGTCACTACACACGATCTTTACCCTGGCTTTGGGGCAACCTTCTTTTAAGCTGAAATAGCTTAAAACATCCCTTTCAATTTTATGTAGTTTTAAGGCGAATAGATTGTGGTTTGGATGAGACATCAGATGACGCTAGAACAACCATTGATTTTCATGGAAAATACGCGGTATGTTGGATTGAAATGTTCACATTGATTTGACCAATAGCCAGAATAAATGTTCGCTCGTTGTACTTCAGCAGTAATCGTTGTATAACCTGAGACCCATTATCGTAAATGATTGACAAACTGAGGAAGAATGTCATTACGACTTGCAGATAACTTTTAAGATAATTGAAGGTTTGATCATGTGATGGACTGAATTCTTGTGTTTAGCCTAGTCTTTCCATTTACTCTGCTCACATCAGGGTTATTATAGAAGTGTTATATCACAGTCAAATAGGATATATGCAGTTGGTTTTGACAGGTCACCTATTGTTTGTGGATATATATGACCTGACAAATTGCTGAATCGACCAATCCTTGTTGGACTCACCGATACATATGTATACAAGAATTTATTAGTCATATGTAACTACTTCAAAGGATCTGGTTTTTCACTATAAAACTCCATTTGTCTTCAATATTTAACTATAAATGTTATTCAGCCTACAGAATATTTTTTTCTTACTTGCTATTCCATAAAATGAATTACACTGGACAAAATTGGTTCATTATATTGCGAATATATGATGCACGCATTCCCAAGAACTTTAGTATTTCATTTACATAATTGAGATCATCTATAATAGCAAATTATTATAACGTGAAAGCATTCCTATGAACGGAAATCTTCTTGATGATAAGAGTAGTCAAACCTAATGTAGGAGAGTTCATTTTCGTTTCATGAAGAACTTATAACCATTTGAACACTGTTTTCTGAACCAAATAATTTTCGGTCTACGTTTGATTCACTCAACTTCGAATTCTGATTCCTGTAAATGTTTCAAAAATCTACTATGCAAGGACTCGAATTTGTCAACACCTGATGGGTCACAATAAACTCAAACTAGTTGTATACACCTGCTTTAAGTAAACCGCACGAATAATTTCCTTTGACTGGTATTCATTTCCGTTTTGCTTACTCCTTATATTTACATTTGTCAATGGCAGTCATTGTTATGCAAGCGATTAATCGACAGTCAAAATGATATTATTACAATATGTGAAAAGATTAACTTCACTTAAGATGAACTGTTCCTGACAGGTAGTTGACGGTTATAGTGCACCAATGTTTGGTAAGAATTATACATCATTTCATACCTAGAGATATCTGAGACATATGTGTCGATGACATTCGGTTCTCTACTATTCTATGTGAACTCGCTGTGGGTGCTGGTGTGTGATAATCACAAATAGTGGCTTCAGATGACACAGACTATCTAGTTCATTTTGAAGTATGGCTTTTTGGCTAATAATATCTTCTACAAGTGTTCACTGTGTAATACATGCTTGAATGTATCTCTGATCGCCAAGATGTCAGCCTTATCAAAGGTGCAATTGTTCCAACACTAAATGTTCTCTATGGGGATTGCCAAAACAAATGAATATAACAAAGTATGAATAACGGCATAATCGTTTGATCCAAAATGCCATCATCATCCGTGGATAATCAATGACACTTGACAAAATAGTCCGGAATTTCACGTTTCAGATTAGACTTTCAACATTAAGTGATGCCCTTTTTTATACATCTAAGGTATTTTTCGATCCCGCGGAACCATAACAACATCCAAGGTAGTAAGTACAAAATCTACAGAAGGGGAGTAAGTTGAATGTACACCATCGCTTTGGCAAATTTTTTGGCGAATTTATAAATGAAGACTCTTGTTCGGCACTTCATAAAAAAGAGTTTGATGTTGAAATTAAAAATACAACTGTCACGTTAGAGGAAATCGGAAACAAAACGTTAACGATGCTGAAGAGCGTCTACTGTAGTGTAAGTCTTTGAGAGCTTTGTCAGGAGGCTAATTTATAAGTAAAACTAGTCGCTGTATGTCAATTTCAAAATGATAAACGTCAAGTGTTGATCTAGCCTTTCGAAACCAAATACATCCAATGATCACCCACTTAGAATTACGACATAATTTTCTTAACCAGATAATGTAAGACAGATGTATGTCTCTGAACAAACGATATTTCATGAGGGATACAAAGGCCTTAACACTTCTTAGTTCACTGACTGAGGTTTATGTCCTTTCCTGAAATACGGTTGATGAACGACGCAAACCAAGCAGTAAGTAGTTGTGCTTCAATAGGTCACAAAGACTGTCAATCTTTGTTAAAACTGTTAAAAATTTATCTTCAGAGGTCTGTAGACAAACGTCCTTGAAATGCGATTCACAGCACACTTCAGAATAATGAACTTAACTGAAAACAACTCCAGCATCAACTGTGGAGTATACGTGTCCCGTAAAATTGAAATTCAATGTGCAACACTGACTGCTCATCCCTCTACATCACTTTTTGAATGCACATATCAATTCTTAAATCAGAGCATCGGAATCTAGGATGAACCTGATAAAGACAACTCTAGTTTAGACCTTTCCAAAGACTAAGCTTTGAGTGAAACAAGTGACCGTATGCTGGCCGTGTCAATAATAAAATAACGGAAGAAAACACAATTAGTCTTAATGACACTGAGTTAAAATAGCTTGTCACTCAGAATATATTGAGCAATGAATAATCAAGTGACCAACAACCGAAGTTCCTAATTTTGTCTTGATAAGATACTTCGACGACTCACTTTATAACATTCACCGTTGTTAATACGAAGTGATATTTCCTAGTGATGAGAATTCATCAGAATAAACATTCACAATGGACTCATTGTTGATTGCAGTTGTCACAAAATCACGAATACACAAAACTACTAAACTTCAAAATAAATATTGTGAAGCTCTTATAAAAAAGTCAGTTGGTTCAGTTGAATGAAAACAATGACGTAATTCATAAAAACTGAGTTCATTATTTAATCAATAAAAGTGCATCGGTTATCACATAATCAAGTATAAGAATTCCATGAAGAAATTCAACAAATTATAGAAACGAATAATGAAAATTAAAGTTTACAAATGAAACAGCAAATAGAAAAAACCGTGTCAGAATATTTCAAATGAGTTATGAGATGCTTCTATGAATCATTCATTGCTTCTTCTTTTTAAATAGAAGTATCTCCAAACAATACCACAGATACACACAATAAACAATGATACGAATAATGGTATCACGATATATAAGTAGACAGATGATTTGCTCTGACTTTCAACTCTGCCTATTTCAACTGTGACATTCTGAAGAAAAACAAAAAATGCAGCATTAGTTACCAAATAATAAATATTTACCGAGGATTGACCGGTTTCTTCGACATTTTCATTGACGGTTTCAGTTAGCTGAACTTCGGTGCTCATCAAAGTGCTTTCATTTGGAATAGTGGGTGTTGGTGTACTCAATTCATTAACCTCGGAGATCTTCTGAATAATTAAAACAGTAACATTCATTTAATAACATCAAATTATTCATTATACAATGTTGTCAGTAGTGATGACAGAAGAGGATTCCACAATTAGTTATTCACAATTCACATTTTTACAATCATTTGAACACGTGGTACGAATTGAGCAATCAGAGTGATGAGTACACATCATTCAACAACTAATTGACGACTCGTTTGTGTGATGAAATTTGTATTCTGACTGTCACATCTAATCACCATTCAAATATAAATCAATAAACTAAACATTGACAGCTTTATTGAGACAAACTATCCAGGTTCTCAATAGAGAATCAGAAATCCTTGTTCAGGATTTCAACAATGTGAGTTGACTAAATCTCACTAATTCTCAAAACATCATACACATTGAATGAACTGAAAAATTATAATGATTTCAAGCATTGATGCCAAATTGTGAATAAATCTATTGTTATCTGTTTCCCTGCAAATAAAGCATTCTACTTGTATGTGATTAGAAATGGTCAATGTATAGAAAGCTGTAGTTTAGTCACTCACGGTAGAATACACGTCAGTTCTTATTGATAGCAACAAAATATTCTTTCGAGTAAGCGTATTTACTCGCAATATGGAACTTGGTGACATTGAAAACAACCTGATAAGTTTAAGAAGTAGTTACCTCGACACGGCAATCATTAACTTTCAAGTCATGAGTATCGTAATCGTTACTTTCAATACATCTTTGAGCCTTCTCACACCAAAAGCATTTTGTGTTCTTTGTTTCTGCATTTTGGCATGTTTCTGGAGTACTGTATTTCGGACAGTTTGCTGGAAAAAGAATAATGTAATTTCATTTCAATTTATGGAACAAAAGATACGTAAATTGTAAACATGTATCAATAATGCAATAATGTGATGGTGATTATGGAGTTAAGTGACTGTTTCGTTCACTGGAAAACAGTCATCACATTGCATAATGCAATTATTAGTACACTTTCACATTCACTCACATTTTACGACAGCATGTTTGAATTGAATGAAACTGCTTGGAATGTCATGTATGATGGATGAATTTTGACAAGTAAATTTTACTGTTTTTCAATGTCTGTTTACCTTCAGACATGTACACACGATGTGGTCATTGAGTTATCAATGCGCACTGCATTTGATTTTTGATGGTTTTATAGTTTTTTTTGATATTTGATATTGGTGAAATAAAGTCAGATGTTGTCAGAATGAAAATTCATTTTCAATTGTGTTGATTCAATTGACAGACATGGAAAAAGTGACGGTTTTCTTGAAGTATATGGTCGTATTATATTCAACAAAAACTGGATTTTCTTTGTTCATTAGATAGTGGAATGATTCTCTCAGTAGTCGAAATGTTATTTTAACACTCTTACACATTGGTGAACTGAAATCTGTTTGTAGTTACTCAATTTACATATTCATGAGAAGGAATGTATTTTAACACCGTGAAATTAATTCTGGAACTAGCTATGATAAATTGTAATTTGCTGCCGTCCTATTACTATACCTTCAATGTATCGGATAAGTGTGACCAAACAGGGATTTTTATATTGTTTTATATTGTTTTTACAGTAATGACAAGCACGTTGAGTGTTCCCTTGAACTCAATACTCAAGTTAAATTTGATATTTCACATATTGAGTGAAAACAACAGACACTTCCGCATCCATGCATCATCAACTGATTAACACCTAATCTTTCTCAAGACTAATATCATCTCATCTATTGTTTTGTGACAATGTGTTTAAGTTAATTTAATCTAAATGAAGACTTTAATATTAATTCGAAATGGGCCTGTTATCATTTGTTACATTCATTCATGAAACGGCGTGTAAATATTAGTGGTATTTGAAACGTCGATTGACACGGTTACCTGTACACAATGTAATAGCTGACCACAAATACACATAAAATTGTCAAGTTGATTAAACAATATTGATTTCATCAAGTGTGTAAATAGATAATGTTGATTAGATAAGGATTAACATACTTCCGATAACTTCAAACTCCACCAACGTTCCAGTAATTGCCCATTTTTTAGGAATAAGTAATTGATGTAAAACAGCTTTTTTTCGATAAATTGAACAGAAATAGACAATTAAAAATTTTGATTTGTTTTTTATGTGTAACAAGTTGCTTGCATAATCCAAGTTACGATAAAAACATGAAACCTAAACATTTGCCATAAAGGTTAATGTGGAGATCATCTAACATCTCCAAAAATTATGTTGTATCACACTCTGAATTTCGAAATTGATCAATGTTCAACAAGTAAGTCGAAAAATGAAATCGATAAATGTTCTATGTTATTTTGCGGAGAAATTAATACAATCAACATTTCACATTTTAAATTGTAAATAAGCAACATAGAAAGTTACAAATCAACGAGGAATGATGACTAGCAGTGCAGTCCAATGCGTGCGCTTCGTCTAATGTAGATCTTGTCAGCTGGATGTTCCTGCATCCAAGAGTTGATGTTCACTCTCAGACTGGAATCCAGCACTACGCACTTCAAACGCCGTCCCGTCATACACGTTAGGCTGGTCATCTCAGATACACAATAACTTCTACAATTGGGTAATGTTTTGTCTCATCTTCGTTTCGATTACTGAACCTTCCCATTGATGTTTCGGACTGCAATTGGTTCCACTCCTATGCTTGTGACGTAAGGCAACATTCAGAAAACCTTTGAAGGATGCATATGTATTTCTACTACAAACTGATCAATTGCAGTTCATAATATCGACAGGAGAATTCAAACAAAAAATACAATTATGATAATTATATTAAGTGTTTGAAGATTCTTTAATATATTGCAAACGAGCAACATGTACCACTTGACTTAACATTTAGTTCAGTTTCTCACATTCCATCATTAAACGCTGTGTAACACCTAATCACCTGCATTCAATACTTGCCTATAAACTCAGCTACGTCTTTCAATAACACATGATCATTTCAGTGAATCATGTTGATTGTGCATTTTATAAAGAAAATATCAAATTCAAGTACAACTCGTTTATTTCTGTCTCATGCAAGACACACCTGCTTTTGCATTGAAGAATGATGTAACCGAGGACTGCAAGTGTGACTGTCGTACTGTTTGTGAGTGAATAAATGAGTGCAAATATCGTCTGAATAATATCGTCATCCATTCATCACTGTCACCATTAATTGATAGGTAATCATAAGCATAAAATGTCTGCAAATAGTCATCCAAGCTTTTCCAATAAAAGCATTCATTCTTCTTACTTATCTCACACAAGTAAACCGCTTGAGTGAGCCTTAGCAAATAGATGTTTAATGACGAACTTCACTGTACATCAAAATGTTAACAACATTAGTTGAAATGTTTCTTACGCTTTTCACAATTGAATTGACGGAACATTTCTCCTCCACTGTTATGTTGCTCAAATTGTGTAGGAATCTGGAAAAAAGTATTTGAAGTTCAAGTCAAGATATGTCAACGCACAACTCATTATATAAAAACCAAGTATTCTTTGAAGTAATCTGTCATCATTCACGTTAACTTATTTACAGACAACTAATTACACTTACATTAAGCTTACTGGTATTCCCAAATTTTTTATGATGTATGTCCCAACTGATGTACAAAGATGTTTTGAATCACTCCAGTCGTCAATTTCAGTGAATGTCGATGAACTATCTATCTATCTATCTATCTATCGTGAAATGTGAGATGAATATCTACGTCAGTTGAAATGAAATGTGATTGTAAACGACTGCAGGAACTCGACGCTCGGAATATTCATTAGTAAACACTCCGAATAGTCGATCATCAGAAGATGTAAGAAAGCTTTAGAGTATACGGTTCATTCCGTACAGTACTATAGCATACACTGTCTGTTACTATTCGGCATGAACACATCATTTCTTTTGAATGCAATTCACTCCTAATCATTCTGTGTTTTAAACAAGTGCTTGGTTGAAGTATGTCATCAAAGCATTGGTAGTAGTGTCAAACAGTCTAATTGCACATTACAAAATGTTGACCACTTTCTATCGTGTTCCATGTAACTTGATACATTCGACAGTATTGATTAATTTGAAATGTTAGAACGATCTAAAATACGTGAAATAAAATTACATTTCCATTCATTTGTTCAACTTACGTTCTCGTAATACATAGATATCTTTCCATTCGGATACATCAAAATAATTACACTGCCTTCAACCACTACAATAAGAATATAATGTACACGTAGGCCTCAAAAGATTAAAAATAAGCACGTTATTGTTTGATGTAACACTGTCTATGCCAACTCACAAAATGATCTTATTTCAGTGGATATTCACTGTGTCATCTCAAATACTTTCTTCACTTGAATTCGAAATAATTATTTTCAAGTGAATGAACGTCATGTAAATAAAACAAGCATTCATCGTTCAAAATGAATGTCAAACGCTCAGTTTGTCAAGCGGTATTATTATTGAAACAATTAATCGTCAAGTTATACATTTAAATCTGATAATCGGAGAGGTATCCAGCCTTAGTACATATGACATGAGATGTGGAGTGTTTGTTTACGATTGCAACTTGTGAATTCAATTGGTTGGATAACATTTCAATCGACTAAATGACTGTGATGATAGTGTTGATTTGTAGTAGATGAAAAACGAATCACTTCATATATGTCGCTTCAAAGATATCTTAAGTTAAGTGGATAATATTTACGAATGATCATAAACTGAATGAGCGTGTAGATGAATTTATTGTGTACAGTGATATCATTCTGATGAACATACAACACAAATCACTCATTTCGGGACACAGACTAACCAAGTTTCATTAAAGGCTGTAAACCGAATGAATCTCTGCATTCGTTTTCTCACAAGTAAAATGAGATAAGCACTTAAAGCATTCGTGTTGATCAATTTATTACTTATCAAATCTAGCCTTTTTCAGTTCATTCCAACTGTAACTAAACAGTGAATGGATTCACACATGATTCTGCTCTTTTTCCAAGAAAAGGCATAAATTCTTAATTTTTCAGTTTTTGGAGAGAATCGAATCACACAGGCTGTAAGTATTCACAATGAGTGAAGATGTAAATGTTTATATTTCACATATGATAGAACGATCATTCAATGTTGACTTACCTGGAGCAATATTTTCCTGGCTTTTAATAAACCATCTGATAGCAAGTAATTCCTCTGAAATAATGAAAATCAAAATGGATGTTGAAATATCTGCATAATGAATATCTATCTCCTTTATTAATTGTATGTTATAAAACGAACTGCCTTTGAATACAAGTTATCACCTTCATTTTGAGACATAAGTGAACCGATATAGATAAATGCTCACTAATCCCTTGCAGAAGAAGTTTCAATAATTATTATTATTTCAACGGCATGCGGAAAGTTTTAATCCAAACAACGGAGAAGAATATTTCACATCCGTATCATCTGTTTCAGGAGCTTAAGACTGAGTTAGAGATCTTTAATATGTATCTGACAATAGCCATACAAAATCACTTTCTGAGACTCTGTTATTCATCAATTCCCATAACTGACCATAATGAATGTATGTAACCATGATGTTCTAGGTATTATTATTCGAGTAAATTGTCTTGTACTAGCAGACCGTTCGTGGTCGTTCACTGGTCATTTGTTTCAGGAAGTGCCTGGATTCCAAGTTCATAACCACACAAATATTATTACAGTGATGGAGGTGAATGTTCGATGGTCGACAGACAACAACTCAGAGTCATTAATCTTTCAAGAATCTGGTAAATACTGGAAAGGTATAGAAGGAGATCAAATAAACTTCAACAGTTCATAGGCTTCAATGATCCAAACTGATTTCTCTCACAATATCAATTATTTTTGTACATGTGGTCAGTTTGATTCATTTAGCCTACCAAGAATTATTGTGTCGATGTGGTGTCTTCTCATTTGTAGTATCGATAGACTGTAGGGTAAGTTATCTTCACTTTGACAATAACATCACCTGATTTATCACTTCTACTCAATCAACGTGTATTTATTTTGCAGTGAATCTCTTTGTTGTGCAACACACACAAGCAAAGAAATCACTATGTGCTGGTCAGCTTTTGTGTATTAATCAAGTGAAATACTGAATCAATTATGCAAATTGAATGTAAGAAGAAGAAATGAGACAAGCCCAAACTGAATAGTGAAGGAACTCACCTTTATTTAAAAGCTCTACTTTAGGTATTCTGACGTCTGTGGAATATTTAATTTCTCCCAGTGGTTTGGTTGCCAACATCCGTGATCCAAATTGATTCTCTGCATAAAACATACAACATGATTGATAATTTTACATTGAATGAATAGAATGCTTTTGAAATAAACTAAAAGCGAATATGAATTTGATGATCTGTATTTGCTTTGCTGTAAAGAGTAACATTATTTACAATTTGGACAAGAGAAGATATTCAAAGAAGTCTTGAGTGTCACAAGGAGCATAAAACTGTTTCTTTGTAGAAATTCAATCAACTTCGATTCATGGAATGAAATGTGAAAAGAAAACTCAGAAACAATTTTAGTCTAATAAAAATTATTCACTTACTATTCTTAAAGTTCTCAATCGTAATGACATCATTATCGTAAAATTTAAGCTTGAATTTCGGTGTAACAGACTAAAATGATGCAAACATATGGATAAGGTACTCCATTACAAAATGAAGTCAACTCACTCCAAAACGATCAGTTTGAACAAATTTGCCATTCGCAATTGGATGAGGCTGATCTAGTCGGATCCTTAGTGAATATTGGTAATGAAGAGACTATGTATGTGTTTTAGAATCTGACTGATTACTTACATAATGATATGAATCGTTTTCAAAAATTATTTCGTGATAGTCCAACAATTCACGTTCTTTACAGATATCTTGACATTCAAGGAATTTGTAAAGCAACACGATGATCGAATAATGCAGTATAGATAGACTTGACGAAAGGGTGAATCTGAAATGGTTGAGATGAAGAAAACAACAATATCTCATTGAATCAAATTTCAATTTCTATGACACACTCATTTACGTCAAAAGTGTAATCAATAATCACCTCATCTTCTGATTCAAGGTAGTTAATCAAATTTAACTGAAAATTGTCTGGTTTATATAGACTTTTGAAGTGCTTGGTTGTTTCTTTCTGATTTGATGATTCAAATTACCCATTGAAAAGATCAAATTTCATAAATCATATGTTTATTGTTAACCAATCATGGAGGTAGATGAAATCATCGTTATTCAATATTGTTCTAGCCATTGTAAACAATGAGCTGATATTCATCCACAGTCAGTTGAAATTCCTGACCTCCTTTGAAGAAACCTCTCTTGGATGTGATTAACAATACATACAATACAGATCATCGGTTGAATTGTGGTTCAAAATGTTTGCTCGTGTGATTACAAATAAACAGTTTGTTACTTGTTGTAGGCTGTCAATAGACTGTGAACCGTGAGGTTGTTTGGATTTGATTGTTTAAAATCAAAGTAGAACAAACTGTTTTGATTAGGTGTCGAAATTTACGCTTTTTCACTTGAGTTTTATTTTAATAGAAAAAACATTTTGTCAGACGATTGCACCTTTGTTGTTTATGAAATTGTAGCTTCTGAACAAAGCCACATCCATTCTATATCACCATCATATATATTATACCACTGACTGTTAACACGTGTTCAGATCAACGGAGATAATATTTTTCTTATTGATCACTTAGAAATTAAAGTGAATTTGGTCCGTAATATGAATTGAAGTCGTTAGTGATTGTGTTAAGAGAAACACAATGCATTACATTAGAAGTGAACTGATGAAAATTGAGAACAACTTGTTGAATCAGACACAGTTTTGTGGTTACAACAGTGATTATTGTATCAAATGGTAACTAATAATCGTGTTGATTCACAAGAGGAAGACCGATTTTCAATAAGGAATTTCATCGAATTATTTCCACATATCACTTGGTCTTGTATTCATAGTGATTGACGTTAAAATAGACGAGTAAATCACTGTGAAAGGATAAAATCAAGGGTATATTTAATTTACACTAAACGTCAAAGACTGATGAACGAACAGAAGTCGATTTTTTTGTAACGAATTAATACATTCAGCATAACAAGTTGGCAATATTGGTTTCTGTGTAATAATTAAATAGTTTATCACTTGTTGCAGTACCATTGTGTTGTTTTAATTTAGCAAGATGCCAACACAAATCGAAATGTTGTTTCCCCGATTAACAGTTGTAGCGTATCTTCCTGAAATCATCGACATCAAATTTGTTTTTAATGGTACATTATCGAATCCAGGCCGCTAACCAGTGTGCAATTATTAGAAGAAACCTAGACTGTGTATGTCATAGTGTAAATCCGTTCATGTGCAGTGGCAGAGTATGATTCAGATAGTCACGTATTGAGTAGAGTGTCTGTTTATACGTTCTTGAGTATTTTACATAATGTTACTAGTGAATGTGTTGTAAGTACGCAATATGTCCTACTACATAACAAGACTACATGCTTTTGGAGTCAGGCGACATTAACCTAATACCCTTTACTGTTCTGCATTATTCTTTTGAAAGACAGACTTTGCTGTATTGTGAAGAGTGCTGAAAACAGTCAAAATAGTGTGTGATGAATCTTTTGAGATCATTATTTATATGTCTGTGGTCGGACATCCAATATATTGATGGAGACTTACATGGGTTACCTTATTATATGCTAACCATCCAGTTCATTCACATTTTATTCTGATATATCTTCTGGTAGAACGATAAGTCAAAACACATTACGAACAGCTCGTTTAAGATGACAAAGCCAATAATTAGTACTTCCTCACGAGTTTCTCATTGAACAAGTTGTACTAATTCATAATCTTTCCAAAAAATCCATCCCGTTTGATGTCAACTTGCTAATTTACTCAACTAATGTTGGTACTTGTCAGTTTTTCTTCACTCTTCTCTCTTTTGTTGTAAAACGAACTTATTGAAATACCTTGTGCCGAGAATTCTATAAAATATCAATCACATACTATTGAATAAAGGTAATAATCATAAGAATGTTGATAAATCGTTGTCATAATTTCTCAATGGAATTTTATGAAAAAAGCGGAAACGATAACCATTTTCCATGGTTATTGAAAACGTAGAGAGTATTAGGTATGATTCAATCTGACGTATAATGTTCATGGTATTATCGGTTGATAAATGCTTCTGATGTCAACTTATAAATTGAAATTCGTTTGTGCTTAATCATAATCTTATCATCAAACACTTGAATTGACCAGATGAACAAGCTGAACAAAACTATAAATTGGTCTTCATTTTACATGTATTCCTCAACTACTTACATACATCTGTTATACTTCGGGAAAAAGCAAATAATGATTTCCAGCATTCTTTATTCAAATCCGTCTTTCGCACTCCTTTCTAGTTGTTTCCAGTTGCTGTTAAGCTTTTTGATTTCTGCGTGCAGTTCTTGATGCAGGCTGTTCATTGACACATGCGTCGTGTTGCAGGTTGATAATTTTCGAGACACATGTCCCATTTCTCTTTTTTCCCAGTTCTTCCTTCATCTGAAAATTGGTTTTCTCACACAAACGGAAACACGTTGCTGATGATATCCATCCAACGAGCACTGCACATTTTGCAGAGACAAATATTTATAAGTACATGGGCTGTTTTAATGACGATTGTAATAGTAGGATGTGTTTATGAAGTTAAAAGCTAACAGATTCAAATATGTGTGTGATGTTCAAAAGCAACAAGCTAATTTGACGTTGATTTACACTTGAGTGTTTTGCTGTTGATAGAATAGATTGTCTGAAAAGAACAGCACAATGATTTGTTTCCTTTATCTGAATTCAGTTGGATTGAACATCCCTCACAAAACTAATCCTTCATATCAAATGACTGACAACTGTGAAGAAGCTTTGCATACAACTTCACTCTGGTCCAGTAGTTATGCATTGTGATTTTGTAGATGAACTGGACGAATAATAAAGTGATGATACAGACACAGATTTTGATTCGGTTTTTTTCAATGGGTGGACGTTCGATAATGGGTTGCACTGTTGTTCCTAAGCAGGCATGACTCTGTGATTTCGCTACAATGAGATTGAGGTCGAATACTCAATATACAGTCACGATTAGACAGTATGTTTATGAAATGTATTCCGATTTTATGTCGCTTAACTGTCTTCAATCCCTCATTGACATTCCCATCAATTCAATTTATATACGAAACAAAGGATGGAAATATTCACAACATTGCAATTCTCAATCTCAATTGAAATCTGAAAAGATGTAGTAGCAATAATAGTCTGTAGTAAAAAAGAGGAACTTCACAGAATGATCAAACAAAAACAAACTTATTGTAGTGAAGTTCAAAGAAAATGAGTTCGAAAGGGCTAAAATGCAACTTGCGAATTTGATTATTCTGAGTAGAGGGAAACGTTTATTTTATTCTCCATACTCCAGTCGGACGAGCATGCACTGATTACACACTTGATGGTAAGCTAAATGCAGTCAAACGAACAATTCCGGAGAATGACTTTCAACTCAATTTGATTATATACAGTGATCTGAAACCGGAATAACAAGTTGATAGAACTCACACAAATTCGAGGAATTTTTAACGCTTGAACATAGATATACGGCATTTGGGATTTAGAGAAAAGGCTATCCACATCATCAAAAATCACATTATGTTCTGCAAGTTTTGAACTGATTTCTTTAGCAGGAAATGCATTCGCGAAAGCCTCAAGAATCGACTGAAACTTCGAACCGTTTGATTTTTCATCGAAGATCATAGGCGGTGGTGGTAAAAAGCTAGATATAATTTGTTCAAACCTATTTAAATTGACAGTGCTGATTTGTAATCTACAGAAATATGGTTATGCTTAATTACGGACCCGTATTCCACATCACTGATTGTTCGCTGTTTCAATCGGTAACACTCGGTATTCAAACTTTTGATCGAGTGGAGGCTCATCTTCTACATCTAAAATAACCTCAAGACCATAATGCGTTCGACAGCAAGAAATTAGGATTGAAGAGTTTCAGAAGAAAAAATTGTCAAAGATGAATATAATTTACTCCATGAACTGTATTTGTTCGACCTGAACACAACATTTCCTTCTTTCGTCCACTCAAAACTGTTCACACTGAGGACTGTCAATTGACGATTCAGTAAGAAATATATGTGCTTGAATGTTACTTAGAATCATCACATCTACTATTTGAGTTCTTCACATCTAATATGCGTTTCCAGATAAGAAATATTTTTCTAAAAACAATGATAATAATGCCGATAATCATAAAGTACACTACCTGAAAGTGTGATTTTTAAGAAAAAAACATCAATCTGTTGACCTGAGTTGTTGTTTGTAGAAGTGTTAATGATTTATACATTCTTCTTGACAATCATCAGATTCTATCTAAATAACCAAATATAATGGTTTTCTCTTTTGTTTAATGAGCCTGATATAAAACTGAAATAGAATAAGGAATGTCGCGCACTAATGATGCACCCACGCAAACGGAATAAAGATGAATGAAATTTTCATTTTACAAAAGACTACTACTTTTTATAGAGAAGCTGAAGTGAAAGCCAAAAGTTTTCATGTGAATGCATAGATGGTCTTACTTCAGCTATGCGTAAACTCTGTAACCATTTACCATCTTATTTCAAATGAGTTCACAGAAAAGTCTTCTCATAGTATTTTCCTTTCTTACAGACTGGCACAATCAGTGACTGAGACCAGTTAGATGGAATTACGTCCGGTTTCCAGATTCTACCTACGACTTCAGTCAACCTCGCTGGTAATAATGGACCACTATCCTTAAAAATGTCATGGGTAGACCTGTCAGTACCCGCTGCACTCACTCGCTTAAGATTTATCATAGCTTTTCCAACTTCGTAAGGAATTAGAGAAACTATATTAACTTGCCATTTAGGCAGACTGGAGATCTTGGGAAAGCGAAATGTGGCTGAAGGCTAGTTGAACTGATACCTGAAGTGTTTTGCCTATCGATCCAATCTCCTGGATTGAGAATGAAAAATACGTTTGACTT